GATTACATCAATTTCACACACCCAAATATTTCACGGTCCTGATAATGACCCTTCCGCAATCAGATCTGTTTACATTACTGCATTGCTCGTTCACAGGGGCCGTTGGCTTTGGGTAAATATTTGTAAGAACGTCATCTTTGTCTAAAGCTTTCCTTCACGTTTGACAGATGTAATGACAAGGTGTTAATAAGAAAGAAGTCTGGTTCAAATTATTCTAATCCTTCTAGGATTGGCAGATGGGAGCCAAATGAGATGTAACATTTGAGAAGAACTTTACCGCCTAAGCACTGTGTATAAACAAGTTGAAGATACTACGTTCGGTGTCTGCAAGGAACATAGTTCTTGTTTCCTAGAGCAATCAGATTCTTCCTTCTATGTCTCTACTTCCACACCAGACCAGGAAAGGGAGATTCTAATGGGTTGAGGCCATCTGTCTCATTTTTAGTCATTGTCACTTTGAGATTAAGGGAGCTTGACAGTGGTCATCAAAGTGGATACAATGACTAAAAATTAGACAGATGGCCTCAACCTATTAAAATCTCCTTTTCCTGGTCTGATTTGGAAGTAGAGATATGGACGTAAGAATTCAACACATTTGAAGGAAGGTCTCCATCAACTGATAAAAACGGACTGCTTTCAGAATGCGTTTGTTGACCACTGTCAAGCTCCCTTAATCTCAAACGCATTCTGAAAGCAGTCCGTTTTTATCAGCTGATGGAGACCTTCCTTCAAATGTGTTGAATTCTTATGTCCATGTCTCTACTTCCAAATCAGACCAGAAAAAGGAGATTTTAATAGGTTGAGGCCATCTGTCTAATTTTTAGTCATTGTATCCACTTTGATGACCACTGTCAAGCTCCTTAATCTCAAAGTGGATCCAATGACTAAAAATGAGACAGGTGGCCTCAACCCATTAAAATCTCCTTTTCCTGGTCTGATGTGGAAGTAGAGACATGGACGGAAGAATTCAACACATTTGAAGGAAAGTCTTCATCAACTGATAAAAACAAACTGCTTTCGAAACACATTTGAGATTAAGGGAGCTTGACAGTGGTCATCAAACGCATTTCGAAAGCAGTTCGTTTTTATCAGTTGATGAAGACTCAAAATGTAATGTTTTCCAATGATAACCATTCTTATATGTGCGACTTAAAGTTGCAGCAACTTCAAAGTAGTTCATGCACCACTTTGGTCCGACTTTTATGCAACTTGAGGGCCATAGACTTCAATGTTAACCCTCAAAAGTTGCATGAAAGTCATACCTGAATATTTTACATGCAACAGTGGGTCTGACTTTGCTGAGGGACAATTCACATCCAAGTCGCACCCATCCAAAGTTGTGTCAAAGTTGCACTCCAAAGTCAAGCAACTTTGGAGTCGTACAAGTGTGAATGGAGCCTTATTGGACCTAACTAAAAATAACTGGCACTTTTTAAAAAAATAAACTCATTGATTAAATGGTTTAAAAAAAATAGTTCAATTTCAGGCATGCCAGGAATGGCAGCGGTCACATTTGCTTGTACTGTCAAACTGTCAAAACCATCAAATGGCTGGTGCCATAACTGATCACATGTGCAGCACCATTGCAGTTGTAGATCAGAGGCCAAGATGGCAGCTTCCTTGGCTGAAAACGATAGGAGGGTTTAATTCCACTTTAAGCCCAGTACACACTATTAGAAAATTGGACAAAAGTATTATTCAGAAAGTTCATTTGATTGTCTGCTTAGTACACTGCTTTCGACAGCCGATATGGACGGTTCAGATGAAAATTTCTGAAGGAACAAGTTGGAAACATTTTGTCGTTAGTTATCATAATGTTTGAATTTCTTTTAGGGCCAGTTCTCACCACAGAAAAGCAGTCAAGATGCATTTCTGTGTGCTTATTTTTAATGCGTTTTTGCTGCGTTCAGGTGCATTTTTGATGCTTTTTTTTATCCCTCTCTTATTTGTCCAAAGTTTCCTGGGTTTTTACTTTGCTGTAATGTGCTTTTGATGAGTTTGGATACATTCCCGGTGCATTTTTGATTAGTGATGCAACAAAATGAAAATTCTGGTGCTGAAACCGAAAATCCAAAAGGCACTTGGCCAAAAACCAGAACTGAAGCCAAAATGCGCAGTTTTTAAAAATGAAATATATTTTTTTGGAAAAAAATACACTTTGATTAAAAAAAAAAAAAAAAAACCCCAATATATACCCCAATTATTTTGTAAAATATGAAAGAGGAATGTTATAGCGAGTAAATAGATACCCAACATGTTACGCTTTAAAATTGTGCAAGTTCGTGAAATGGCGTGAAACTGCGGTATGTACAAATCTCCATGGGTGATGCTTTAAAAATTTCTACAAGTTAGCAGTGTAAAGTTACAGAGGAGGTCTAGTGCGAGAATTATTGCTCTTGCTCCGACGTTCGTGGCGATACCTCACATGTGTAGTTTGAACACCATTTACATATGTGGGTGTTCACCACTACGTGCAACACAGGGGGACAGGGGGCACTTTAAACTTTTTTTTTTTAAATGTATTTAATTTTTTTTGCACTGTCCCTTTAAAAAAAATTTTAATCACTTTTATTCTTATCACAAGAAATGCATGCATCCTTGTAATAAAGTAATTAGTGACAGGTCCTCTTTATGGTGAGATATGGGGTCAATAAGACTCCACATCTCTCCTCTGCAATGTAAAGCATTGGACAAAAAAAAAAAAAAAAAAGCATTGATCTGGTGCTTCAAAAAAAAAAAAAAAAAAAAAAAAAAAAAAAAAAAAAATGTCCGGAACCGGTAGTGACATCGCTCCGGTCCTCCAAAGACATACAGATGAGTGGAGGCCATTTTTCCTTCATTCATCTCAATTCCCAGCATCGGGATCGTTCGATGGCTTCTTAGGTAAGGCTGAGAACTACCGAGTGGCGGCTGGTGTTGGCAGCAGCGAGCGGCGGCGACAGCAGGCGGGGGCGGCGGGCAAGGGGCAAGTTTTTTTCAGCATCTGCGTTGGTGCTGTTTTTCATTTCGGCCAAAAGGGATGTTTTCGGCCGAAACATTTCGGACACCGAAATCCCTATTTTTGATGCATTTTGCCACTTTCCAGTACAGTTCAGCAGAAAAATGCAGCATATTCTACTTTTATTTTCTGCACTGGAACACACCGCACTGGTGTGAACTAGGTCATTGGAACCCATAATATTTACTATCCATGTGTTTTTGATGCAAAAAAAAAAAAAAAAAATGCACTAGACTGTATCTGATGTGAACCGGCTCTCTATTAGTACAGTATTCATCCTATAAAAATCAAATCTGCATGTCTGTATGATTGGACACAAAGTACGACCACAGACTAGACATAGGCTGTAGCGTCGTACATGGGAAGTTGCCTTCTGTCATTCAAGAATTTTCCTACTATTTTAGGCATTTTAATTTTAACCATTTCCCAACCGGCCGTTGTATATAAATGGCCAGACGGTGGCACTGCAGGGTCAGATGGCCGTTTATAAAGGCCTCCCCGCACCCCGCTTGTGCTCGCTCCCCGGGAGCGCGCAGCACCGCAATCTGGTGCCCGCTGTGTCCTCCGGACACAGTGAAACACCGATCGTCGGACGGGACCTCTGTACGAGGTCCCAATCATGTGATCACCGATTGGCCAATCAGTGATCACATGCAAAGTAGTAAGCAAGATGTCACTTCTGACATCATTGCTTACTACGTGTGAAATCTGTGAATGATCACAGAGGTCACATGGTACAAGGCTATTCACAACAGTCTTGTACCATGTGACAAGCTGTGACCAATCACAGCTCACTCAGTAGTTCTCAATGGCTGCAAGAATGCAGACAGAGAGAAAGAGAAATGATTGCTTTTACATCCTATATGGGTGTAAAAGCAATCAGTGTAAAAAAAAAAAAAATCTTCATCACCCCCCAAAAGTAGTACAGTGTCACCATGGTGACACTGTACTGCTAGGGTGACAGTATGTAAAAAAAAAAAATAAAATAAATAATAATATAAAAAAAAAAAAATGTAAAAAAAAATGTTTAAAAATTATAATTTTTGGTAATAAATTAATTTGGCTTATTTTTTTTTTTTTTATAAAAACATAACGGAATACGATTTGGCCAAGATTTCTGATGAAATATTATTTATTTGCAAAATTGTATAAGAAAAACACTTTTTTTCAAAATTTTTGGACATTTTCATTTACATAGCAAAAATTTTTTTAAAAAATTACAGCGGTGAATAAATACCACCAAAAAAAAAGGTTTATCTGTCTCAAAAAAATGGTAAAAAATTAATATGGGTACAGTGTTGCATGACCGTGCAATTGTCATTCAAAGTGTGATAGCGCTGAAAGCTGAAAATTGCCCTGGTCAGGAAGGGGGTAAAAGTGTCCGGACTGGAAGTGGTTAAACATGGGACAAGGACACAGAAAAATCTGAACTATCGTTCGTCCAATTAGGCTTCATCTTGGTGTGCAGGCTTTGTGAATTGAGAGAGTGAGAGAGATTATTATTATTATACAGGATTTATATAGCGCCAACGGTTTGCTCAGCGCTTTACATTATAGTGGGAGACAATACAGTTCAATACAAGAGGGATTTGAGGGCCCTGCTCCTTGGAGCTTACAATCTAGGAGGGAGGGGTGAATGGTACAATAGGTAATAACTGTGGGGGATGGAGTGGTTGGAAGAGTACAGGATTCCATTATTAGCAGAGGGCGGGATAGGCTTCCCTGAAGAGATAGGTTTTCAGAGATCGCCTAAAAGTAAGTAGAGTAGGCGATAGTCTGATAAATTGGGGTAGGGAGTTCCAGAGGATGGGTGACGCCCTGGAGAAGTCTTGGAGACGAGCGTGGGAGGAGGAGATAAGAGAGCTAGAGAGTAGGAAGTCTTGCGAGGAGTGGAGAGATCTATATTTATTTTTTGTTACAGTTGCACACATCTCCTTGGAGTTCTTAGGATAAGGCTACTACTATAATCTCCCTTTGTAAATAAGAACAGATTGTCGCTCACCTTCTCACACCACTGGAACTGCTGGTCTTCCGCCACGTAACAGGAGCACTGACACAGCATCACCTGGAACACAACACAGAACACTCACTGATAACACCCAGAATCTTCCCGTAGACAACAGTGCACACTTACCTGAATGCGGAACATAAACTTACAATTTTGTTGCATTCAATGGACTTTTACCCAAAACTTATCCTGGATGAAACAAAAAAAAAAAAAAACTGGAGGAATGCCCACTGAAGAATTTATTTTTGGTTGTCATTAAGTTGGTTCTGATCCATTCTCTTCCCATTTTCACTCATTTGGTTGGTGAAAATGTTGAAACAATTATGGTCAAAATTCACCAAATTGCCAAGTATGGCCAGACACAGCAACGTTCAAAGATTTGTACAGAAGTTGTGTATATTTTACTGCTCAAACAAATGAAAGGAACACTTTGTAATCAGAGTATAGCTTTAAGTCAATGAAACTCCTGGGATATTGATCTGGTCAGGTAAGTAGCAGAGGGGGTTGTTCATCAGTTTCAGCTGCTTTGGTGTTAATGAAATTAACAACAGGCGCACTAGATGGGCAACAATGAGAGGACCCCCAAAAAGGAATAGTTTTACAGGTGGAGGCCACTGACATTTCTTTCCCTATTCATCTTTTCTGACTGTTTTTTCACTAGTTTTGCATTTGGCTAGGGTCAGTGTCACTACTGGTAGCATTAAGGCCAATACCTGGACCCTACAGAGGTTGTAAAGGCAGTCCAACTCCTCCAGGATGGCACATCAATACGTGTCATTGCCAGAAGGTTTGCTGTGTCTCTCCCAGCACAGTCTCAAGAGCATGGAGGAGATTCCAGGAGACAGGCGGTTACTCTAGGAGAGCTGGACAGGGCCGTAGAAGGTCCTTAACCCATCAGCAGGACCGGTATCTGCTCCTTTGTGCAAGGAGGATCAGGATGAGCACTGCCAGAGCCCTACAAAATGACCTCCAGCAGGCCACTGGTGTGAATGTCTCTGACCATACAATCAGAAAGAGACTTCATGAGGGTGGCCTGAGGGCCCGATGTTCCTTTAGTGGGCCCTGTGCCCACTGCCCGGCACCATAGAGCTCGATTGGCATTTGCCATTGAACACCAGAATTGGCAGGTCCACCACTGGCACCCTGTGCTTTTCACAGATGAGAGCAGGTTCACCCTGAGCACATGTGACAGACATGAAAGGGTCTGGAGAAGCCGTGGAGAATGTTATGCTGCCTGTAACATCGTTCAGCATGACTGTTTTGGTGGTGGGTCAGTGATGGTCTGGGGAGGCATATCCATGGAGGGACGCACAGACCTCTACAGGCTAGACAATGGCTCCCTGATTGCCATTAGGTATCGGGATGAAATCCTTGGACCCATTGTCAGACCCTACCCTGGTGCAGTGGGTCCTGGGTTCCTTCTGGTGCACGACAATACCCGGCTTCATGTGGCGAGAGTACGCAAGCAGTTCCTGGAGGATGAAAGAATGGATACCATTGAATGGCCCCACGCTCGCCTGACCTAAACCCAATAGAACACCTCTGGATTTCATGTTTCGGTCCATCCGATGCCGCCAGGTTGCACCTTAGACTGTCCAGGAGCTGAGTGATGCCCTGGTCCAGATCTGGGAGGAAATACCCCAGGACACCATCCGTCGTCACATTAGGACCATTCCCCGACGTTGTCAGGCATCATACAAGCACATGGAGGCCATACAAACTACTGAGGACCATTCTGAGTTGCTGCAATGAAATTTCAGCAAAATGGACTCACCTGCTGCATCATTTTTTTTCACTTTCATTTTCAGGGTGTCTTTGAATTCAGTCCTCTTTAGTTGATAATTTTCATTTCCACCAAACGATGGGGCATCCTTACATTCCTAACACATTACCCAGTCCAGATCAGTATAGATATCCAGCATGAGATTTTTCCCCATTGAGATCTGATGTATTTTCAAAGTGTTTCTTTAATTTTTTTGAGCAGTGTATTATACCAACTAAAAAAATATAATAATGTTTTACTAGGTAAATATATATATTTCTCTAAAAGAGGTTCTTCACCCTTGGAAAAAAAAAATGACAAAAGTAAGCAGCTACAAATCCGGTAGCTGCTGATTTTTATAAAAGGAAACTTAACTGTTCAGGGAACCAGCACTGTCCTCAACAGGGCCGGTTCTTCACAGGTCTTTGGGTCCCCGGAGCCGCCATCTTTAGTGTCTTTTATTTAACCAGCACCTGAGGTGCTTGGTCCTTTTTCACATTTATGTTTCCCCTAACTTCCTGTTGTATACAGAGCTCAGTAGCTCAAACTGAAATTTGCACAAAAACTGACCGACTCATTTGCAGTGACTCATTTGCAGTGACTCATTTGCAGAGACTCATTTTCAACCACCCCACTCCCATCAAATTTGCAAAGATAAGTACATGCTGTAGAACCCACTTAAGCCTTTGTTTGTGTTTTTTTTTTTACTGCTGCGCTTCCATTCTCCAACGCTTCCTGTGACTAGTGAAATTCTGCATATGTGCCATGTTTAGCCTTAGAATATAACGTGTATTTCTGGGCAATTCTGCGCGATGCTGTAAAGCAAATATCATATTCTCAGGTAGGAGGACATAAACACACTCCTATGCACCTATGCAGGTATGCACTACAAATTTAGGAAACGAGGTAGACCCCAACCTAAGTCTGACCTCCAGCCTTCCCTTCAGTCTTGCACAGTTGTACAGTCTCCCCTCCTGTACTGAAATGGATTTCACTGCACACTGGGAGCTTCTCACAGTGTGCATTAGAAGCTGCAGCAATTCTGGCGATGCTTGGTCAGATACAGCCCGCCTTTTTTCTTGGTTGGAAGACCTCCAGCATTATCTATCTCTTTTTTCTCATCCTGATTGTCCTTTAACTTAAATCAAGGAATGCGCTAAAACCACAAACTATTCCTAATTTAGTGTAGAAACATTAGTGCAAAAGATATATATATCTATTATCAATTAATATCAAAAAAAAAATATCAAAATTATGTGCAAAACATAAGTAATTTAAATAATTAAATTTGGGATTCTCTGGGATTCTTCTTTACCTCATGCAGCATTCTGCGCTGTGCTTTTGCAGTCATTTTTACAGGACACGCCTAGGGAGAGTAGCAACAGTGCCAAACTTTCTCCATTTGTAGACAGTCTTCTTACCGTGGACACATGAACATCAAGGCTTTTGGAGATACTTTTGTAACCCTTTCCAGCTTCATGCAAGTCAACAATTCTTGATTGTAGGTCTTCTGAGAGCTCTTTTCTGCGAGGCATGTTTCACATCAGACAGTGCTTCTTGAAACCAGTAAACCCAAAACAGGTGTGTTTTTTTTAAGGGCAGGACAGCTGTCAGCAACACATCTAATATCATCACACTGATTGGAGTCAAGGTTGGCTCACTCCTGGCTCCAATTAGCTCTGGGAGAAGTCATTAAGCTAGGGGTTCACATACTTTTTCTTGCAACTGTACCTTATGGATGAATGTGTAGCTATTGATCATCACACCTGAGAAGTTGATTCATTGCATCTGCTCCCAGAGCAAAAAGCGTTTTTTGCTGATCTAGAGATTGATCAGCATGGAGCTCTGGTGAGTTACCCAACTTTACTTTTGGTGGTGGATTTTGGCACAATTTCTTTGAGAGCACCTGAATTTGAAAAGGATTTGTTTGGACATTTGAAGAAATTCAGAATTGGACATTTTTTGTTTTTTTTATATTCACAAATTTAATTATTTAAATTACTTATGTTTTTGCACATAATTTTGATATTTTTTGATATTAATTGATAATAGATATATATATCTTTTGCACTAATGTTTCTACACTAAATTAGGAATAGTTTTGTGGTTTTAGCGCATTCCTTGATTTAAGTTATAGCACTAAGAAATTTATTTGGTTTCTTTGAGGTGGAATTGCTGCTTTAAAGTATTAAGGGTGTGGCGCTTTTATTACACTTGTGATACTGATTGTCCTTTGCCCGCCCCTTTTGTTTCCTAGATTTCAATTCTTTTAATCATGGAGGCTCAGCATCACCTGTGGGTGTTACCTAGGCTGGTCTACATGCAAATGGAGCCTTATTAGTAATGTCCACTCACACCGGACTGACATTCACCCATCAAAGCATTTTTATATTTGCGCAACTCCTCCAAAGAGCCAGTGTACGGCTTATGTCAGCACTGGGGGCTCTTGTGAGGAGTAGCAAGGCAAGGTGCTGTGATGTTTTCAGGAAGCTATGCACCTAGCCAGACCCTCCCACCAGCCAGGATCTGCCTGCATTACATATAGAAGAAGAACAAAGAAAGCTTTAATTAAAAATGTTCATTAGCATGATGATGAGGGGTGAAGAAGGAACCAAGAAAGGCAAAATTCAAGCAGATTACCATCAGCATTAATCCCACATACTTCAGCTGATGACAACCTGTGCTTCTATTTATTTATTTATTTCAGGTACTTATATAGCGCCGTCAATTTACGCAGCGCTTTACATATATATTGTACATTCACATCAGTCCCTAACCCTCAAGGGATGTACAATCTAAGGTCCCTAACTCACATTCATATACAAGGGCCAATTTAGACAGGAGCCAATTAACCTACCAGCATGTCTTTGGAGTGTGGGAGGAAACCGGAGTACTCGGAGGAAACCCACGCAGGCACAGGGAGAACATGCAAACTCCAGACAGGAGGTGCCGTGGCTGGGATTCGAACCAACGACCCTAGCACTGCCAGGCAGAAGTGCTAACCATTTAGCCACTGTGCTGCCCACCTCTAAACATTTCCTCTTTTTCTACATCGCATTAGAAGATTTTTTTTTGCAGCACATGCTGATCAAGACCGCTCCTTCCATTTCGTTGAATAGCTAAAATATGTAATGATATCTCTAAATATCTAAAAAACAAGAAAAGGACTTCTGCAAGGATGTGTATTGTGGTATCTTGTGGGCTTTGTAAATGTATACACAGACACAGGGCATGTGAAAACTATGCCACATTCATTTTGTTCATGCCTCAGCTCATACCAGCCATACTGGCAGGA